ATTATTTAATACTGTGTATAGCAAAAATAGCTGAAAGAGAAATTAACCGAAAATTTCTATAGCAATATGCAAATCATTCAGTACTAATATTGGATCAAAGAACACAGGCAGGATTATTCAGTACTGTACAGATTAAAAATTCATTCAACAATTTAATACAAACTATCTACCAATTTTTATTCATGCAAATATTGCATCATCTATCCACCTATTTCCTAATTTTAACATTAAACATATCTTCTCAGTGCAGTTTTGATGCTGAAGATTTTGCCGCAGTTACAGCACTCAGATTTAGGTCTATGGTTTCTTTGTGTTTGGGAAATAATGATTTATGATGAAACCTTTGCGAATATTTGTGAATGTATAATTAATAGTAATAAAAAATGGAGACAAAAAAAAAATCTTGTCGCATCTCTACAAGAGAATGCACGTTGATGAATGGATTTTTTTGCAACATATCTTTTTGTATTTCCAATTTATCTGCAACCCTTTCATGAGGCTTTCGTCGGGGATTAAAAGCATATACATCAACTATCGAGTTAATGATAGGGAATTTGAATGTAAGACATTACGAATCGCACAGATCAAAAGCTGCTCGAATCTTTGGTCGTTTAATTCCATTCAATGTGATATAAAAAGGCTTCTATTCAAACATTTCTACCATTTTAAAATTTTGTATTTTACTTTGTTCTTCGTCATGTCGATAACACAAATCATTGGGTTCAGTCTTCTGGTTTGCATCACTTTGGCCTGTAATGAAACTTTCTCCCTACTTGACCTCGATACAAATGTTATTACTACATATGTTCGTTATCCTGGCTACGAACAAAATGTCATTCTGAACAATTATTATCAGCCTACTACTCTTCTCCCACACAACGTTTATAACCCGAGTGAATTATTTAAATCAAGTGATAGCAATGAAAACATTGACTATGACTTCTTTCGAAAATACATTGACAACTTCAATTTGTCACACTTTAATCCGGACCCCAGTGAATATAATATTGATAGAAAAGAAGGTAACATTAAAACTGAATTTTTTGCTTCTAATATATAATTAATTGATTATTAATTGATTGTGAATTGATTATAGTAATTTAAATGAAATGCGATGTGATATGTTTATTTTATGGCATTGATATTTTATGATCAGTTTTCAAATTATATTAATTAATTAGCAAATACTGGTAGTACAAGAGGAGTTTTTCAGAAGAGCAAAGTCATAAACGTCCTCATGACGGATGTGATGCGAGTTTTGACAATCGCGATGAATATAGAAAACGCAAGAAAACGCCCGACCAACCATTTATTTGCAAACGCAAACGACCCGATTGTGGGCCAACGTCATCGTTTCCTTCTCGCAATGAAACACGCCAACCTAAATTTCAATGCGAAAACTGCAAGGAATTTTTCTGCAGCAAGGGCTATTTGAAAACACACATGAAGCGATGCTTAATAACTTCTAGTTAGTTCCGCAAATTTAGTAAAATTTCAAGCATGTTTCTATCTCGAATAGTAGAATGCACATGAAAATGTGATGCGAAACATGTAAGACCATGGAACACTTCAAAATTCAATAAATATTGCAATGCAGAAAATGAAGCCAAACTGCGGCAAAATGTTCATTTCTTTTGGCGTAGTGAGGCAGCATTTAGAAAATATTCGTTCTAGACCTAACTGCAACACATCCACAATTCGGGCATATACAATGCACGAAATAATGTGTAAGTATCAGAAATTGCGCGGCATCTTCAGTGCTGCCATCAAAACAGATGCCAATTTATAGTCTCATTTTAATATTGGTTTTTGATCTGTTTTGTTTTCATTCTCTTTACTATGCAACATATCATAAGAGTAATTAGTGGCAGAAACGGCAATTTTTTTTAAATCAATTCTTGTTAAAAATTGGACTGCATATTCGATCCTTCATGATCGCCTGATGTTATAAGAGTTTTTCAGAAAAGCGAACTCATGAGTGTCAACTTGTCGGATGTACTTTTCACACGAACAGTCTCAAAGAATATAGAGCACACAGGAAAACGCACGAGGAACCACTTATTTACGAATGCAAAGAACCCAATTGTGACCAAAAGTTCAATTGTAGCTCATCACTTTGCTTTCACAAGGAAAAACATCAACCTAAACCTCAGTGCGAAAATTGCAACAGATCCTACGGCAGCAAGCGCAGCTTGAAAAGACACATGAAAGCATGCCTCGGAACTTCTTGTTAGTTTCGCAAATTTAGCAAAATTTCAAGTCCGTTTTTCTATCTGCAATACAATGAGTGTTGCGATATGTAAATACATGACAAATTGGCGGTTATCGATATTTTTGATTATGTGATTCGTTTGACGTTAATCTGATGAATGTATGTATTTAATGAATGATTTTGCGAAGAAAATTTCACACCTTTTATCAGTAAATAAAATGCAATTCATATTACCATTAATATTTCAAAACAGGTCACAATTTTAATTGTTTCTTCAACTCCCTGCTAATCCTTT